ATTTATCTGGTCATTCCTGGACTTGCCAGTTATACTACCTCCATGGGCTTCCATATACTGTTCTGCCAGCTTGATCATCTTGTTTACATCTTTTGGTACTCTCTCCTTTAGGAACAGTGACATGTCAACTGAACATGTGGTCATGAACTGTTCACGTATTAATAGGTCTGCCAGTCCCTCAAAACTATTTTCACACATGGCCATGTCACTCCACAAGACACGACACAAACTGAAATACAGTTTCTCCAGTGTCTAGTTTAACTCCTCTGAACTTCCAACGAAAACCTTCTTCCGTAAGATCATATCATTTTAGTAAAGCTACTTTTAATTTGTCACAATCCATTGCATCTTCTGACATCATGCCTACATATACTTGTAGGCCTTTTCCTGTAAGAAGTGGGCTGAAACATACTGCCTTGTCGCCTTTGTACCAGTTCTGGCTTTGGGCAAATCTTTCATATCTATCCAGGAAAGCATTCGTGTCATCTTTATGTTCATCAAATTTGGGCAACTTGGGTCGACTATCCCTGACTCCATTGTCATTTTTGGGTCCTTCTTCTTTTGGTTGGGTGAATTTTGCTATCTCAATTTGTATTCTCATTCTTTCTATTTCTAGTCCCTCCTCTCTTTTTCCTGAATTTGTATTCTTATTTTCTCTATTTCTAGTTTCTCCTTTCTCTCATTTTCTTCTTTCAGTCTTTCTCGTTCTTCTTTCTCAAATTGTCTCTTCTGTTGCTGTTCTTCTCTTTCCAGTTCTTTTTTGTTTAACAAACTCTCATAATTCACTGTCTTTTAACCCAAGTTGAGATCCTATTTCTACCCATTTATCAAAATCTGTTAACATTGTTATATAGCATAATTTTAATCTCTGCACTATTTTCGTTTCTACTACAGTTGTGCGTATATAGGTAGGCCTACTTATTTCCACTATGATTCACATTTTCTTCTATTGCCATTTATCACTGTATAATCCTGGCTGTGGCTCGCCAATGTTCAAAATTTAAAAATCTGATCCTCTGGGTCTGCATCTTTGATGTCCACATCTGCAACATCCATTTGTTTCAATAGATGCACCCATTTGGTCTTCTTCTCTCCCAAAATACTTCTTCAACAGATGGCATGGTAGCTCTTAGTCTTCCCGTTCACATTCACCTTGTAGCCCATTCTGTTGAGTACTTCCTGTACTCCTTTCCATTGCAGGGTGAGTTTGTTGTGGTCTGTGGGCAGCAGAACTAAGACCTTTTGTCCACCTTAGTTGACAGGTCTATTCCAGTCATTTTCTG